TTCGCTCTCTTCTCAGCAACCTTATCTGCAGCCTCTTCCAAGTCTATTTCTCTCTTCTCACCCAATGGCAACCCTGCGACGATCTCAGGTCCTTTCTCCTCCTCCCCCGTTTCCTCCTCCTCCTCCTCCTCCTCCTCCTCCTCCTCCTCCTCCTCCTTGCCAACCACTCTCATCCTTGTGCAGCTACATGGTCCCCAACAAGCTGAAGACCCGACTGTGCGCTCTCTTGCCATTCTCTACAGCAGTGCAGGTGAAGGAGTGACAGAGGGCTTCTTTACTCTGAGAGTGCGAGCACAGCTATTTGGCGTTCTCATCTTTCTCATCGTCGAGTTGTCTGGCGCAGCCGGCGGCACAAGGTTCATGCAGAAGAAGAGCAACCAGGGAAGGAGCAAGACTGACAGCTTGCGGTCAGCGGGGTGGCAGGAACTAGAACTGTCTTTCTCTTCCTCCTATACTGGATGCTCTTTGCTCTGTCCTTGCAAATCGGGAGACAGCAAGGTAAGGATGCGAGGAAGCCCGTGCTGCTCCTGACGGGTCTGGACTTGCAGAACAACCGAACTTGCGCTCTTCTATTCTTGTCTACCTCATCTGCTCCGTGAGTGCAAGTTGCTGTCACCCTGCAGACTCATCGATTGCGCAGGTTGTGTTTCTTTCAACGATGCTCGCTTCAGCATTGTCGACGTTCGGAGTGGAGGAATGCAGGTAGTGCTGTGCTCGAGTGGCCGTTGGTCGATGAGAATCAATTTGCTTCCCCTCTATCAGTGTCAGTGAAGAGAACGAGAGGAGCGTGCTGGTAAGTAAGCATGCTCTGATGGACTCCTCCTCTGAATCACTCGCAGACGCTAGGTCCCGTCGCGTCACTCTTAAGGTCAGGGTAGCTCTTGCCTTGTATGTCCTGCCTGAACGAGTCCTTGCTCGACTTTCGACTGCAGCAACTCAACTGGTCCATTTCTTCTTCCTCTCGCCTCCTCCTCACAGTGTGGCAGGCACGTACTTGGTCGTTGATCGAAGGAGATGCGGCATCGACAGCATCGCTAGGTGTCGACAAAGGGGAGGAGGGAGGGCGAATGGGAAGCGATGAAAGACAGGAAGGAGGCTGAGGCAGGGAGGACGGAGGGAGATGAGATAAGATGAGACGAGACGAGACGAGACGAGACGAGACGAGATGAGATGAGATGAGATGAGATGAGATGAGATGAGATGAGATGAGATGAGATAAGTTACAAGCTGAAAAAGCATCACAGGGGAATCAAGATCATATTTGAGATCCTCGTCCATATGACCATCGCCCTCCCAAGCATCCTCGCCGCAATCTACGGTTGGTGTATAGCAGGATTGAACCTCCCAACTGATTTCTCTCGTGTACAATCTCCTCCTCTTCATCTGCTCCCCTGCTCTTCTCTCTTTCTCCTGCCTCATCTTTTCATCTCTCTTCAGGCTTGCAGTGCGATTGGACTCTCCTCGCCCCTCCGCCTCTGCCCCCTCCTCCGTAATGCCAGGAGGGGGAGAAACGAGTATCTCTCCCTGCTGATCCCATCGCAGGACAGAGACGTGGAGGCACGACGAGGCAGGAGGGACGACAAGGGAGGACGCGCAGAGGGGAGCAGGTCGAGTATGATGATGTTGACTCGGTTGCTGCTGAGCCCCTGACAGCGAGGGAGCGGAAGAAGGAAGAGAGAGGGCGGGAGAAGGAGTAGGACGATGAACCTGTGCGCGCTCTTGTCACTGATGCACATGCGCCTTCTGCAGGAACCGGGAAGGGGAGCAAGTTAGGGAAAGGTCCTCCTCCTCCTCCTCCTCCTCCTCCTCCTCCTCCTCCTCCTCCTCCTCCTCCTCCTCCTCCTATCTAGAAGCTCACAGGCAGCCAGGCATGCAAAGAAGGAGCTGCACATGGAGGGAGTGAATCCAGAAAGCAGTAACTCCCCTCCTCCTCGTGTGGCTGTTTCCACTGACTGCAAGGCAGGTATCGGAGGCGGCGAGAGAGGAGAGAGAAGGAAGGAGAGCAGGAGCGAGAGGAGCGAGCAGAGGAAAGGAGAAGAGAGTGACGGAGGAGGAGCAGGACTAGGAGAACACACGCATGGGGTCATCGCAGCTGGTGCTGTGCTATCCTCTCCTTCCTTGCCTCCCTCCACCTGAGATGCTGGATCTTCCAGGTGTAACTCCAGGGAGGCTCGAAGCCGAAGGAGAGAGTCTGGTGGACGAGGCGCTCAACAGGTGAGGCTGAGCTGGGGAAGGCGGTCACGTGGGACAGCTGCTGAACAGGAAGAGCTGCGCAGGTACCTCGACTCGACGTAAACTTGCCAACACATGCTCGGGCCCACTACCCTGCGCTATCATAAGAATACTAGGATAGAATTTATGAATTAAAGAGTAATGACGAATTTCCGAAGGCGTTCGGAGTCCCGACTCGAAGGTCCGAGTGAGCCTGGACGGCCGCCGGGCCGGGCGCGGCCGGGCCGGTTCTCAGCGGTCTCGGCGGCCCAGCAGTGCCGCCCGGCCGTTGTACTGGGTCGGCCTGGGCGGCCTGCGAAGGTGATCGGACTGAGTCCTGCCAGCCGGGCCGGACTCCCGGGAGTGACTCAGCCCGTCCGCCGGGCCCCAGCGGCAACATCACGTGTGCGGTATGAGGGTTCATCGAACCTTCAGTGCTCCCGATGAAGAGATGTCGGGACAAAGGAGGAGGAGGAGGAGGAGGACGAGGAGGAGGACGAGGACGAGGAGGAGGACGAGGACGAGGACGAGATGGAGGAGGCGGTTGGATGATCGAAGCAATGGAAGGAGAGGAAGGAGAGGAAGGAGAGGGACAACTTGACCCTGCAAAGGTCATTAGACGACAGATTAAAGGAGCACAAAGTGCAAGCACAGCCGCAGGTGCAGTAGGATCAGCGGAGGGCCAAGTGTCAAGATAGAACGATCCTGTGTCTCCTTGATGCTGTGTCTCCTTGATGCTGTGAACGATCCTGTGTCTCCTTGATGCTGTGTCTCCTTGATGCTGTGTCTCCTTGATTTGCCCTTGTACCATGCTGTGTCTCCTTGATGCTGTGTCTCCTTGATTTGCCCTTGTACCATGCTGTGTCTCCTTGATGCTGTGTCTCCTTGATTTGCCCTTGTACCATGCTGTGTCTCCTTGATTTGCCCTTGTACCAACCATGATATCAGCATCGTCAGGTTAGAAGCATGAGGCGTTGACCATGTCACACCTGTACCGCCTCCAGATCCCTTGCTTCCAGACGCTGTCAGGCCATACCGGTGCGGTAACAGAGCAGCAGGGGAAGGTGTAACGATCTCCTCCAGGACCTGTCACGTGCTGCGCGTTTGATGCTGATGGGAGAAGCATCTGCACGGGGGGTAAGTCGGTTGTCATCAGCATGCGCTGTGAAGGTGACGAGGATTGGACGAGAACAGGCGAGGATGGAGATATTCGGCTCTGGAGATTCGTGGGAGACTCGGTTCGAGAGCTGCTGTTCCTCCTCTTCCTCTGATCCTCCTCCACCGTCATCACTACTACTACCACCATCACCATCACCACCATCACCATCATCATCCGTCTCCATCTCCGTCTCCATCGTTCATACTTCAACTTCACCGTAACTTTGATTTTACAGTATCGATGCGCCAAGGTGATTGAGCTCGGGCCAGCCATCACCTGCTGTCAATTTCAGCCCTCCGGTGAACGTCTGGGTTGCTATGAAATGAGGTTCTAACATAGCGCATCGCAGGATTCGAGGACCTGCTTGCAACAGGTTCGACAGACAATGTCCTTCGAATCTGGAAAGCTTTCGAGGTGATCCTTCATCTCTCCTCCCCTCCCTCTCTCTCTTCCCTCCCTCCTTCACCTCCTTCACCTCCCTCTCTCCCTCCCCATCCTTCCTCCTCCTCCTTCACATCCCTCCTCTCCCTCGTCGAGTAACAGGCAAGCAGGGTGACTGTATCAAGACACTCCAAGGGCATGCCGAGCAAGTCTCCAGGTACCGTGGTCCTCCCCCTCCCGCACGCAGCAGCTGAGCTCGAACAGCCTGTCCTTCAACCCGATGAACGGCGATCTCATTGTATCAGGTCAGCCCTGCCTCCCTCCCAGCGCTGCCATGGGTCGGTGACTGCGGCAAAGGGTCGCACGACTTGACAGCTCGGGTGTGGAGGGTGAGCAAGGAAAAGCACCTGAAGGAGCTTCGAGGGCACAAGGTGCCTAAGGTGACTCAAAGTCTCTTGCGCGTCTCAGCTGTCGGGCAGGGGCCAGTCGTGCTGTGCTGCTACAACCCCAACGGCGAGCTCGTCCTGACTGCGTCCCAGGTCAGGATTTTCATGCAGGCTGAACCTTTGGAGTGCCTGAGCCTTGTCCTCGTCCTCGTCCTTCTCCTCTCTCCCTTTCTTCCTCCTCCTCTCTCTCCCTTTCCACCTTCACCTCCTCCTCCTCCTTTCTCCCTCTGCTCTGCTCTCCCTCCCTCTTTCCCTCTTCTCTCCATGTTCCTCCTCCCTCTCTCCCTTTTTCTCTGCCTTCCTAACTCTCTGACCAGGACAAAACTCTGCGATTATGGAATCCAAAGACGGGAGAGAGCGTGGCCGTCTTGAAGGTGGGAGGGAGGAGGGAGAGGTGGAGATGAAGGAGGAAGCAGGGGCACTCCAAGCTTGTGTGGGGAGCTGCCTTCCATACCAAGACCGAGTGGATCATCACTGGAGGGCAGGTAGGCAATGGAGATGCTCATTGATACATGTGAATGTATTGTTGTGCTTTTCCACCACCTCCTGCTCCTGCTCCTGCTCCTGCTCCTGCTCCTGCTCCTGCTCCTGCTCCTGCTCCTGCTCCTGCTCCTGCTCCTGCTCCTGCTCCACCACCTGCTCCTCCTCCTGCTCTTCCCATTGATCTTCACCTGTTTCTGCTCTTTCCCTTCCTCCTTTGATCTGTCCCGCCCCTTCCCTTATTCTCTACTGGCAGGATAAGCTTCTCAAGCTCTGGCGTGAGAGCGATGGCTCGTTCGTCAAAGACTTTCCGGGGCATGCGGGAACAATCTACTCCGTTGCCTTCGACCAGGTTTCCTCCCTCCCTCCTCCCTCCTCCCTCCTCCCTCCTCCCTCCTCCT